ATATATATATATATAAGCTAGCTTGATGGAATTTTATGCAGTTATTGCAAATAGCAACCAAAGTAATCTCTGTAAGTTACCAACTTATTGCTTGATTTTCTGGCATTGGGTGTTCAAAAATATTTTATTTTCTTTCGTAATTTATTGTCGGTCCTTAAAACCTCTGAAAGTTTTACACCTTATTGCTAAGTATGAAAAATCGCATGAACTAATTACCACTATCGTTCCAAAATAATCCTCTCAGTATTTCCTGAGAAATTTAAAAAAGTTTCAAAAACTGTTCACATTTCCTTAAATGTGGACAGTTTTTAAAACTTTGTTTTGTAAGTTTTTAAACTTCATGTGATTTACATCAACCATCCTATGTTGATGACGTTTTATGCAGTTATTGCAAATTACCAAAGTAATCGGTGTAAGTTACAAACTTATTGCTTGTTTTTTCGCCATAGGGTGTTAAACAATACTGGTTTTCTTTCGTAATTTATTGTCGGTCCCTGAAACTTCTTGAAAAATCGCATGCTAATTCAATGTAAAAAATAATTATTATTATTATTTATTATTGTGTCTATTAGAGGCACATAAATTTTCTCACAATTTTAAGTTGCCTAATTTTAATTGACAAAATGCAAAATTTGAATGAAGTCTCGAATTCGCAATCTAGAATTTTTTGAAATTTGTTGAAGCAGAAACCATTTAAACCAATTTCGTATTTTGTGGAGATTTTCGTATTGAAATAATATAGTTTGATTGCTCTACTATTCAAAATATTTTCAATTACTATTAAAATAAATAATTATAACGAATCGCACAGTTCAATTTCGCTAGAAATTATTGTTAGGTAAACATATTTTATAATCATGTCCAAGAAGATTTTGATTCACGTATGGCAAAATAAGCAAAAAGAAAAAATCGCATTAAAGAGTCCAAACTTTGGATTACTCTCCTGTCTTCGCTACAGGGACCATATTTTCTAGATTGATTTTCCTCCATATTTTAAGGGTCAAGAATCAAAATTTGTCCATGGGGGAAAAAAAGTCTGTTTTGTCAAAAGAAAAACAATTTTTATGTTCGATTTCGTTACTTAAAATATCGTCTGCAATCGTAAGCATTCAAATTATTAAGATTGACTTTCTAGTACTACGTTAAAATCCGATCAAAAATTATTCAGTTTTATCATTTGATTTTCGCATTGTACATTCAAAAATTATTATTATTAATTAATAACTATTTTTATAATAATTAAATATTGAAAAGGAATTAACTATCTGTGGCTCAATGTAAGAGCTTTCTATATGCAAAAGCAAATCATATAACCTTATTTCGAATAAATTTTAATAAAAAAATGCCGTTAGAAAAACTTACTAATTAATATGTAGGTTGCAATTTATTTTAAAAGAAATGAATGTTTTGTTAATATCTTTAATGAGGATATTTAAAAAAAAAAATGTAACGGAAATTTAGGAATAAAACATGATGAAATAGCTCACAGGTGTCAACTGAGGGTTAAAGTGTAACACTGTATCGAGAAATTATTTATTTACATTGATGTCATGATCAGGTGTGATCCACTAAATCCAAAGCATTCTTTGAATTTCACGCTGCTGGCGGTTAAGCCAAAAGGCAAATAACCTCTTTGCTCGACCGAGTAGCCCCGCCTCCATTCTCTAACACACACCAAACGAGAAAAATTATTCGGACCTCAGTTCTTGCTGTTGATCTGACGATATTTTCCTTTCTTCGTTTTTAGCAAAATATAGGATAGTAGATCAAAAAGAAGGTCACTTATTAAGGCCAAGATGGACCCTTAAAGAGGTTTCTAAAAGTAATCAATCCAGAAAGAAAAAGATATCACGTGACCTCTTACGTCGTTTTCATTCAACTTACCGGCGTGGAGTTGTTTTGTTTGTGGAAAAGAAAATCGTTTTCTTTCGGGAGTGATGTGGGTGCTTTCTGTAACGTTTATCGTGTGCTTCTTTTAATTGGTTATTCAAAAATTGCTAAGGATGGTGTTTTTAGTTCATATTTCCAACTTCGTATAATATTTAGTTTGCTTTCAAAAAGGTAAGTTCAATTTTGTTTATTTATTTATTTTTTTTTAAATGTAAGAATTTTCTTTTAATAAATGGGATTTTTTTTTTCTTCTTCATTTTCCTTACTTTAAAAAAATTGTTTTTAACATAAATTTATATAAGATTGATCTATATATTATTGAAAATGCATTAAATTATTTTAGAATACCTAGCGTTTTTAGTCAAGGTAGAAAATGTGGGAATTTTTGTGCAATTTGCCCAGTCTCTTTACAAATTATAAATACTCTTCACGCAAAGCATGAGCAACAAATCATGGTAAAGCTATAATTTAAAGCAAATGCTGTAAACTATTGCCGAGGTATTTTATGTAATTGGAAGTAAAGAAAGAGAAAAGATTACAAGGCATAAAAATAAAGGAAATCTAAACCCATTAAAAAAGTAACTATAAATTTGGTTTACCTTAACAAGAAGTTTTCTTATAAAACTTCGAAAAAATTTTTGATTCCGTTCTTTACGGTTTTCAACTTATTGCTATTCAATAATAAATGTTATGCGAAGATTTTTTATTCAAACTTTTCAAAATCATAACTTTAAGAGTAGTACGCATCATGAATCACAATTTAAAAGAGCAGATAGTGTCAATATAAGATATCATTCAAATTTATTTATCTAATATTTCAAAATAATAATTCAGACGTCTCATAAATATTGGTGCTCATTTTAAAGGTGGAGAGAATATAATTAAACGTTCCACCAAAGAAAATGGGGGTCGTACTGCAAACCGTAACTGATACAAGGGGTCTTAACGTTAGTAAATCAAATAAAAGAGAATAGTAAGAACCTGAATGTAATAAAAAATATTAAATTTTTTTTAAAAAAATAAAAAATATTGGAATTTTTGAATTGCGCATTTTTTAATGAACCAAACCTAAATCAATGGAGTTTTTCGATTGCTTTTTTCGGTGATTATCGCAACGAATTTCCAAAATCTTAAAAAATCCCAATATTTTTATTTCGACAGAATTATGATACGTGAATTTCGAATTTTGGTAATCACTTTTAAAGCTCTTCATTTGTGTCCAGTTTATAGTTAATCTAAGTGACTTTTCGATAGTATTTTATGAGGTTATTATCGGATTTACACGTGTTTTTTAAAATCGCGATCTCTTTTTAATGCATACATTACAACCACTCGCGAGTTTTGAATTGTGTAAATATTTATCACATTTGACCTGCTTTTTTTTGTTTCAATATTATCGTACTATTTTCTAAGTACTCTCTTTCTCTAGGTACTATTTCTGTATCGTTTCTCTAAGTACGTATATCTAGGTTTAACTCGTAACTCAGTTTTGACTTATACTCGTTTTTCTAAGTATCGTATCGTTTCTAATTTTTTTTTCTAATCACTATCTTTTCTCGGTTTAATTTTTTTCTATTGCTGTTTCACTTCTTATTGCTGCGCATTTAAGCATAATTTTGTAAATCCCGATATTTTAAATGTGTATTAATACGGCACTCGAATTGCGCATTTAAATTTGCCGCAAATAAAGGACACAAATCTGAGAGGCATCGCAAATCTAAAAGTTTTTTTAAAAATCGTTTTTCAATAGTTATTGATGCGATTTTTCACAGGATTTCGAAAATCTTGTTATTTTTAATCTGGTATTATAACGACTTGCGATTTTTGAATCAGGTATTTCAATAACTAGATATTTCCATATATTTTTTTTTAAATCTCAATATTTTTAATACAATATTATTAAATTTCGAACCTGAATTTTTTATACTGTTCACTGTTTTTAAAATTTGTTTCTAATTTTTGTAGCTAAAAAAGAGCTTGAAAAACCGTATTAAGATTTAACATTTATAAAATCTCTTATAATTCACTAAATATAAATGTCCTAAAGCTAAAAATATACCGAACTAAATCCCAACTGAATTTTGAATCTTATTTGTTGCTATAATGCGATAATTTTATTTTATACCATTTAGAATTTTAACATTTAAAGGACTTTAATTTTGCGCAAATGTATTACTAAGTTGATTGATGAAAAGAAAAAAAAAGAATTAAAATAATAAATAGAAAAATTTAGTATTTAAACGAGTTTAATTTCATGCAAATATTTTACTAAGTTGACTGATAAAAAGATTTGCGTCTTTCAGCACTAATATTTGTGTTCAGCACTAATATTTGTGTTAACATGTCTAGGTACTTGGATCTGCCGTCCTTCATTTAAGCACGGTGAATGGGTTGTGCACCCATTCACCGTGCAATCGATTTGCTTACATTTCTAGTTACAGTGTAAAAAATTAGTTAGAAAAAAAGAAATTTTTTTTGCGTGTAAAAGAAAAATTTTACGAATTATTTAAATGAGATTTTATCATTTAAAAAAAATTCAAGTTAGAATCAATAATGGAAATAGAAGATTTTAAACTGTGAAAGAAAAAAATTCTTCAAATTTCTTAATATTTTTTTTTTCTATTTGTTATTATAATTATAATTTGTCACCAATTATATATATATTTATATANTATTATAATCTATATATTATAATCTATAAATAAATATACGTGGTTGCTTCTCCTTTATCGTTGCTTTTTTTTTAATCAAGAGTCAATAGTTTTCAAAAAAGAAAAAAAATATTTTATAAAATAGATAATTATTATAATTTTATGTAAGAATATTTTGTTAATGTTAATCGAAAGGAAATGAAAGATCATCTGGACAGGAAAAACTATTATTTTCACTGTTATTTTACTTGTGAAAGTGAAATAGCTTTCGCAAAAAACTTCTCGTTAAATTCACAATTGAAAATAGCCCTTTCAACATGTCAATTCTTAATGCTGCTATAGATTTGCCGCTTGTATTTCCACAGTCTATAGATCGCTCCGCATGGTATGTTCTTTTCAGAAAATTTAACAGTTGATAATTTTCGAATTAATAATAGAATCTCGATTTTCTTTATGCGCTCATACCCCTTTTAAATTTTCCTATACATTCTTGTAATTTCAAATTTCTAAGTCCTTTTCTTTCTTTCTTTTTTTTTTTTTTTTTTGCAACTAAGCAAAATGTAAGACAAAGTCAACAAAGTGATATACCCCATCTCAATCATAAATCACTTAAAATTGAAGAACTTGTAAACAAACTGCTATTTCAAAAAATAAATAAAAAAATTCTAATGTTGAGTTTACAAAAAATGGCCCCTTTCAGCACGTTAAATTCCAACTCTGTAATTGTATTATTCCTGCAGCAATATTAACATTTTTGGTAGTTTTTGCGTTGCAAAACAAAATGCAACGTAACATTGAACACCCAAAAAATGGTGGCGAATTTTTAATTACAAGTAGAAAGACGTTATTACAAAATATGCTTAGATATTAGTAATCAAAATTAATGCTATTACATTTTCTAACATGAATTTTAAAGTTCATTTAGCAGGTACCCCATATATCTTGAGACATGAAAATTACAATTCGTTACGTTATTTTAATATTAAACTCGTAAGTTTAAAAAAATATATCCAACACACATACAGAAAAAAAATACAACGCACATTCAATAACAATATTAGTCTCACTTTGATTTTTTTTTCAATTGCCAGCGCACAAGATCAAAATTTATTCAGGATACTAAAGTTTTGTCTCCTTTTATTTTATATTATAAATTCGGTTTTCAATAACAGAGGCTAAGTTAAAAGGGTGGTTAATTCGACAGGTTAACTCTATGTATTCTAGTAGATTCATTTATTATTTTATGCTCTTTGCTAATGTGTGCTTAACTTGTAATACAATGCCCATCATTTCACGTTATTTTTAGTTGTTTTCTCACTAAGAAAGTTTGTATAACATATTTTATTAGCAAAAAAAAAAAAAAAAAATAAAAAGCGCACGAACGTGGATATATGCTATGTGATAGACAGAATTGTTTGTAGCAATTTTGAAAATACATGATTATTATTAATTGCATTGCTCCACAAAAACTTTAAGAAAAGTTTTAAAATACACAAAGTTCTTAACTCTTAAGCAAAAATAAATAAATAAATAAATAATAATAATAATACCGTTTTTGTTATTTATGGTCTTTAAAAGGTTTTTGGGAATTCATGTTAAATATACAAAAAAGTTAATTTTAAAATAAATACAGAAAAGTTTCACAACCTTCAAGAACTTGCGAAAATTTGAATGATATGTTGATTCAAGGATAGAGTTTGGTTTTTCTTAGGTTTTCTCTATCAAAAAAGTATACCTTTTAGTTAATGAACTTTCAATATCTTTGTGTAATTTTTTACTCTATGCAAATGCTAGATCTGAATTTCCCATAGCTTAATCGTCCTGGATTAGAATTTTTTAATAACTCTTTTTTTTAATTATACAAAGATCTGTTTTTATTTCTAATTATAAAATAATGAGCTTATTTAAAAGCTTTCTGCTCCCCTTTGCATTGGTGTAGACCAGCGGTTCCCAAATGGTGTTCCGCGAATCCTTAGGGTTCCGAGTTAGTACTTTTTATAGCCAATGATGAGTTTTGAAACTTCTGAATATATTTAGATATACCTATAATTCATAATTTATTTAATCTTTAGGTTGCCTTTATGAAATTATTTCAAAGAAAATAAAAATGAAACGGAAGTGGTATTTTTTTAAAAGAAAGTATAGTATTTCTAATAACAATATAATGAACAAATAATCAAAATAGCCAAAAAATATTTCATGCGTATTTCCTATCACGCTTTTCAAAACAAAATACTCAATTCTTTAATAAAGAAATATGTTTGCCTAATAACCATTTTCAACAACAGTATTCATCTCGAAGTAAATCATAATTCGTTTATTTTATTCAGTTTCATTCATTCATTTTATTCAGTTTATTTCGTTCATTTTATTCTTTTATTTTATTTCATTCAGTTTATTTTATTCATTCATGTATATACACCAAAAACAAATTCCCAACCAGACTAGATATAGAACAAAGACTTTTAGTTTAACTGTCGGATATCAAAAGAAATTTAAAAATATCAATGATAAAATGAT